TATGGATACATATATAAGTCGTAGGAGTTGACCAGGCGTAGAGTGGGTGACCTACCGGCCAAAGGGAATCACACGCTCTGTAGCGTTGAATTCTTTAAAGAGTTTAATCAATTCATGCACCTTTGATGCTAAATTTTTACTATATCTTATTATATATATGCTTTACATTTCCTTTCTTCTTTTCCAATTTAATAAGCCTTGTTTACAAGAAAGCAAAAGAAATCAAAAGTTTGGCAGTTTTCATTTCTTTTGGGCAATCTTTGATTTATAACTTTTTTCATTTCTTAACCAAAATTTCTTTTTTCATTTCTTGTGGGTAAATTAACTAAAGAGAAATCAGAGAGATAGTAGTAAATTAGAAAAGGAAAGAAAGAAATAATGGGTCGGATTCCATGTTGTGAAAAGGAGAATGTGAAGAGAGGACAATGGACTCCTGAAGAAGATAACAAATTGGCTTCTTATATTGCGCAACATGGTACTCGTAATTGGCGTCTCATCCCAAAAAATGCTGGTAAAATCTCTCAACTTTTTTTAGATACTATATTTATTAATCAAGTAATAATATATAGTCCTATGATCCTATATATCCATCGCTCTAATATGTCCATGTCAAGATTTGTTTTAATGTTAATAAACATCGTTTGTTTTAAGGTTAAAAAAAAAAAAAAGTGGTTTTTGTAATTTATAATGGACCGGTGAAATTTGGTTTCTAATATAGGGTTGCAGAGATGTGGGAAGAGTTGTAGGCTACGATGGACGAACTATTTACGTCCTGATTTAAAACATGGCCAGTTCTCGGAGGCCGAAGAACATATCATTGTCAAGTTTCACTCCGTCCTTGGTAATCGGTATGACTTCTTGATATTCTAGTGATCTCATTAACTAGGGTTTCAAACTTTTTTTCATACGCCTTCCTTGAAATGATTGCTTTAGGGTGTATAGATTTACAAATGTGCTCACAAATAGCGGTTGCGTTGTTGATGGTGACTTGATGAAAAATTAATAGTATATATTTGTGGACGAGTTTCTTGTAATTAACTGAATAAGACATAATAATAAGCCTTGTTTTATATACCAGATCTTACTAGGGTTTTAATCTTTTGAGAAGATTTCTTTTGGGTGTATACATTTAGATACCGACTTACAAATAGCTAGATTCATAGGTTTTTTAGTTGCTGATGAAAGTTTATGGGATTTGTTGTGCGCCACAAGCAACACGCTTCTTGCGAAACAAGAAACTGAATAGAAGACATGAACCTCGTTTTTTATATTTTCTTTTGACCTGTATGGTTCAGGTGGTCGTTGATTGCGGCACAGCTTCCTGGTCGGACCGACAACGATGTGAAAAACTATTGGAACACAAAGCTGAAGAAGAAGTTGTCGGGAATGGGAATAGATCCGGTGACTCACAAGCCTTTCTCGCATCTAATGGCAGAGATCACCACTACACTCAATCCTCCTCAGGTCTCTCACCTCGCCGAAGCTGCTCTCGGATGTTTCAAGGACGAGATGCTTCACTTGCTCACCAAGAAACGTGTTGACCTAAACCAAATCAACTTCTCAAATCCTAGCCCTAACCATAACGCTAACAACTTTAACCAAATGGTTGATAACGACGCTGGTAAGATAAAAATGGATAGTTTAGAGCATGGAAATGGGATAATGAAGCTATGGGACGTGGGTAATGGATTCTCTTATGGATCGTCTTCTTCGTCGTTTGGAAATGAAGAAAGGAATGATGGATCGGCCTCTCCTGCGGTTGTGGCGTGGAGGGGTCACGGTGGAATACGTACTGCGGTGGCTGAAACCGCGGCGGCCGAGGAGGAGGAGAGAAGGAAGTTGAAAGGAGAAGTGATGGATCAAGAGGAGATTGGATCTGAAGGAAGAAGAGGAGATGGAATGATGATGATGAGGAGC